GTATTTCCTAAGACTTATACAATTTTTCCACATATATCTGTTTCTCTGATACAGTCAAAGTAAGCAGTAAGTACTTTCACTAGCAAGCAATAATTCCGGCTACAAACCTGACCTCGTGTGTGATGTTCAAAACATCATAGTTAGACACACAGAGCTAGTATTGATTTTCCTTTTTTTTTTCCTTCTGGCACAAAACCAAATGGAGATGGTGAACGAGAGGACAGTCCCCCTTGCAATAACAAAACACTTAATGATCACTTCTGACCTCCTGGCTGTTTCCCTCCTCTTTCATTCTGATGGGAGTCGCTGCCCCGGGTGGTTCAGCCTTGCACAGAAATTTTTAATCTCTTTCAAGTTATTTGGACAAGCTACAAGTCTCAGTCTGACCAAAACCACCACTCTGGACTACAAAAACCTTACCTCCTGACAGTGTCAAACAGCTCTAAAAAATGCAATGAGCGTGTTTTGAGAAACGTGAGAAATACAGTGTTTCTTCACTATATTCCCAATATTTGCTTTCATTTCTGAAGGGTTCCTGAGCGACCCAGAGGCAAGAGAGGAAGGGAGGAGAAGGATCACCGGAAGCAATAACATTTCTCCTATTTGCTCAGGTAAAAGGAGCATTTTCCAGTGGGTACTGCTTTTAGCTCCTAATTCACCTGCACTCTGAGCACATACTTGGACAAACCCCAGTGTCAAAACACAGGCATGAGAAATGCCCTTCAGCCAAAACCAGAAAGAAGTGTTGCATGAAACCGGCAAAATGAAAGCACAAACCTCTAATTATTTTAATATTGGATTGTGACAGTGTTGTTCTCTGTTGGGAGCACAAACAACCCTTGGCCACAGGTCATGGTTCATTGCTATTTTAGAAAACATTGGGATTGGCACAGTGCTGTCCCTGGACAAACCACTCAGGTAATTAAATAAAATGAGCTTTGCAATAAATCAGATGAACAAAATACACACAAGCAAGCAGTGGGTAATACTTCAGTGGACAGGCAGAGCTCAGTGGGTGTTGTTTCAGGACCATTCCCCCTCACTCCAGAAGGTGTAGAGGGTACTCTGTGCAACCTTAGGGTGCCTTGGGCTCACAGAGTCACTGATAACTATGGAGTTTGTTCCCAAAGGGTCCCTTGACAGTGACTCTAGTGTCCTCAGAGGCAATGAAGTGTGTGCTACCACTGAAAGCGGAAACCTATGCTTAGCAGGATGTCATCTCAGGGACCAGAAAGAGTCTAAGTAGGTGGGAAAGGGGATTATGCATAAAAGGAGAGACAAGTGAAAAGAAAGAAAGGGGGAAAAAAAGGAAAAATAGGTAAAACAGAAGAGAAAGAAAGATCCATTCATATGACATTTAAGCTGTTGTTGCTGTGAAGTGCATGTCCAGCAAATGCTGTGTCTTAGCACCTCCAGTGCATGATGGTACCATGCAGTCAATATGTTCCCAAAGAGTGAGGAGAGCCTATTTCAAACTTTGTCCAGACTAACTTCCATTCTACCCCTTCAGATTCATACATATTCTTAATATAAGCACCATAACTTGCACCACTCAATTATTAAATGTTATTTTTTTCTAGCTATCTCTGATCTGATCCAAATTGAGCTTTTTTCCATTGAGCTGCTCCTCAACTTCCTTGATGTTCTCGCCATGCAATTAGCTCATTGTTGCCTGGGTCATGTGGGGCTGGGATACTCCAGAAAAAAGAAAACCTGAATAACATTGGTAGTACCATTTCCATCTTGCTGTTTCTACCTTAACAGAGCATCTGCATGCTGCTGGATACAGGCAGACATGTTAATCTGGGTACCTGCTGGGGCTCTGGCCTAGGTGACCTGCAGTGCCCAAACTCATGAACATTCACAGAGCCAGCTCTTCTTGGAAAAAGCTTCTTAAGAGTAGTTTAAATCCTGATTCTTCCTCAGAAAAATCAACCTCCCTTTCTCTCAGTTGAAGGAAGGGAACATTAACAGCAAAGTGTCATAGGAAACAGCAGCAAGAGATAATTTGTGTCACGGTGTCAAAGTGTAATAAATTGAGTGGAGTGTCACTGTGTATTGGAGTAAAGCTTTGACTTCAGAGGAGTCATGTAAGATGAGAATAGATGAGAGCAGAGCTGCCTGGTTCCTTTTTCCACAGTGTATCAACAGCAAAAAGGGCATTTTTTCCTTAGTGTGCAGTAGCTACACTCCAAATGGGGCAGATCTATTAATAGAGTAAGTGGGCAGTCAGATATGCCCTTCAAAAACCTGCACAGGGCTATAATTCTTCAGTTTCTAGCTCTCACATTGTACCACCCAGGGAAATGGTGGGGCTGGAATGGTTTTCATTTCTAGCATAATGAACAGGATTTTTCGCATATTTACAGTTCTTCTCTCAGTACCCATGCTACTACTTGTAATTGGAAAATTAATAAAGAGTTTATGGCTAAAAGGGTAGAAATAAAAGGAGGACCAGAGCTGCTGTACAGTAAGTCAATATAATCAGGAGGCATTGATCAGTGGAACACAAAATGCTTTCATTGCCTTTAAAAGCCAATACTGCAAGGGGAAAAACAGATGTACAAAATCGTATACACCCAGCTTAGCCACTAAACGTTTCACAGACAAAGTTCAGTGTTTCTAGGTGTTTTAGGGCTTGCTTTCTTCAATTGCTTTTGGACAAGTCTGTCACTTCAGAAAAACAGGTAGGAATCAGGCTGTATGGTGCTAATACATATTTTTATTATGTTCTTCTTTTTGACATTCCTTCTGTATCTCACAATGAGCAGTTCAGATCTCATCATAGTCTGAATATAGATATTACTCAATAATCAGAAAATCTAAATATATTCTTGAAGCAGTAATAGAATTGTGTTTAAAATATCTTACTAGTATTTCATTTTTTCTCTAATGGCTAGAAGTACTCATCTTTGGTTAAGCCCCTGAGTGCAAAATGTTGAACAAACATAGATGAAAACACCAAACTTGCCCCAAACAGTTTAAAATCTACATAGTAGGTAGAAGCTTTGGAAAGTGCAGAGAAGAAAATTAAAAGGTCAGTAAAAAAAATGTGTAGTGCTGGGGACATAGTATAGGTGAGAAACTGCAGAGGTGAGGTTTGCACATTACCCTGGAGGGCTATGAACTAGGCAAACCAGAATCAAAATCAAGGATGCTGAGGCTAACTGAGGGTACAAGGTATATAAGGATGGGAAAGGTGCTGCCTTAGAGATATTACAGAGTAGGACTGTATAAAAACTCCAAGCAAGCAGGATATGAAATTTAGGGGGAGGACTCGTCTTGAGTATCATTATGAAATTTCCTTATCTGCTTCTTAACCGTCTACATAAGCTGACAGATCCCCCCAGCTGCCCCAGCTCTCAGTGCTAAATGCTGATGGTCTTCAAGTTGTTCTAAATTTAATTCTTTAACTGCTTTAAATGGCATTAGGCCTTGCACCTTTGTCCTGTTGGAAGATTGTCTGAGACTTACTTTGTTCCTTTACCTTGGAGTCAAAGTACCACCCCAAAAATCATGGTGAAAGGCTGTTGCTGATGATGTCTGTTGAAGTTTGGGGCATTGGATTCAGTGAGTTTGCTCTGTTTTCCTCCTTGTTGCCCTCTGTATTGTAATGAAGGTTCTTTACCTGACACCACTCTGAGATCAATAGAGATTTTCACTGGCTGTGAGTCAGTGATGAAGACAACCTTATTTAATATTATTTTATATTATTATTTATATTAAGTATGCAATCCAGGGACTGAAGTCCCCATGTTTTGCAGTCATCCTGCCATGCTGGTAGTCCTCATAGATGTAATTCATTCGACCACGGATTCTGACATCTAAATCTGAAAAAGTGGTGAGATTCTTTCAGCATTAATGATTTACTGTAGCCCTACTCCTACAGGAGATCTTGTGATTCTTTTCCTTGGAATTGTCTGTTTCTCTCACTAAGAATAAATGCAGCTTAGGGTGACGGCTACTTCATGGACACCCAAAGTCACAGGAGATGAATTCCACCTTAGAACAATCTTTCATAGAGGATTTAGAGGATGAAGGTGAGAGAGAGCAGAGTAGAGAGTGAAATTTTTTGCATCTTTGCTTTCACTCACATGTCCCTTTCACAGATGTTTTTGTGATCATGTCATCCTTCCATCTGAATGTTGAGAACAAGGCAACAGGAGGGCCTTGTCAGAGAGCAGATGTTTCCAGTGGAAGAGAGGAATCTGAGCATATTCCCAGCATGATTGGGCCAAATCTGACCTACTGAGTAACATATATGTTTATATGTTTTAGCATTTGGATGTATTTTAGTGGTTATTATTATCACATTTTCTACAAAAGAAACTCCCTTTTTACTAGGTATGAGTCTTCTCCCAGTTTATTTTTAATATTTTTTAATACTTTATTGTGTTTTACATTTCTTGTCCCATGTCTAGTGTCTCTTTTACCTTTTTTCTTCTCCAAAGCAAAATTCAGTTTCCCTTCCATATTCCCACTCTCTCCTCCTTGGAATAGTGGGGTTTTTTTGTTTGCTTGCTTCCCCCTTTGGTTACATCTCTCCCTTCTTTCCAGCCTTTCTGTCCTTCCTATTTTTTCTCCTGGCTTGCTGTGAATTTTCTTTCCTTCCCTTCCCATCTCCACTCTCCTCATCTAGCTCTCCCAGCAGCATCCTTTGGAGCACAACCAGTACTGAATTTTAACAGCCACAACCTGTTGTGCAGAAGACAACAACACACCAGTGGCCAGACTTTGCTGGGCCACCACCTTGTGCTTCAATCACATTTTCTGCCAAGCACCCTCTGCTATCCCCTGCTTTTCCTCTTCTCCCAAACTGCACATGGTTGAAATGGCTGCAGCTGTAAAAAGGTCTCCACTGTTCCAATCCACATGTCCCAGGGGCCAAGGCATTGACCACTGGAACACTGCCCTTAAAATAATCAATAACCCCGGGTGACACGCCAACCTTGTGCTGGCCAACCAGGGATAACTTGGGGTATTTCCTCATTCTCCAAAGAGAAACAGCTATTTGTTTAATAGAGGCCGTCACCCAAAAACATCTCTGAGCCTCCCTCGGACCGCCACACTCCAGGAGAGAGGAGCTGGAAAGCCTGAAGCCAGCTGAGGGGAACTCTGGAGCCTTGAGGCCATCTTAGCTCTGTCTAGAAGGTAACCAAAAGTATTTACAGTGCTTTCCTTAGCATTAAAAAGCAAAACTTTCTACAACCCTCATGAAAAATTAGAAGCTTGCTCTAGCCACCTTGCTTAACGAAGCTGCAGAATGTGCTTTTGTTTGGTGAATTAATAATGTCTTTTAAGTGCTTCTGGCAGTCCAGAGTGTTTTCCTAAACTGTAATAACACAGTCAGATCCTCTGTTGTGCACAGGTAGCAAAGTGGCATTGATTTTGGTGGCAGAGGCTCTCGCTACACCTGGTGATTGTTGTTTAGATAAGTTCTCCCTGCAGTTTGAAATGGTACTGAGATAGGTCAGAGAGAACAGGCTCTTGCCCCCTATTCTTCCAGCCAAAGCAGTGTCATGTTGCTTTGCACTGGATGACAATTGGGCCCTCCAATGTTGTATGAAAGGTGCAGAAGAGGATTTATAACTCAACTACAAGACTTAGCTTTTGTAACAGGCCAGGCAATGCCTGTGCTTGTTTGCTTCTCTCTGGGGAGGGGAAGTACATGAGGCTGGGAAAACATATGGAAAAGCTAAAGCTGGAATGAGATGGGAAAGCAGACAGGCAAAAGTCAATGTAGAAAATAACCTACACATTAGTTATTTCAAAGACAGGTGAAATATCCAATATTTTTCCCATGTGCCTTCACTCCTTCCCCACTTCATCTTTCACTTGCACATTGTTTTTCTGTTTAGATTTTTACCTCTTTGAGCTGGGGCTTTTTCCAGAGGCTTGCAAAATACCTTGTCAAATTTTGAGCACTATATAAACAATAGGTAATGACCATAAACAAAGAAGTATCTCTGTTAAAAATCTTCCCCTCTGGAATAGTTTAATTCCAGTTAACTTGTTTTAAAGCTAGATTAAAAAGTACAGCATGATTGCAAAGTGCTCAGAAGAAAAGGCAGGGAAGCACAGTTCTCTTATTGAACTCACAGCGGCAGAGAATGATGCAAATTTTTTGCTATAAAAATGCAAACTCAGAAGTCTCTGGCAGTCACAGCTGCCTCACAGCAATATATGGCACCTGATAAAGTCTTTCTGTTTTTCTTTTCAGTTACAGAGGTCTGAGGACATCGTCTGTCCTCATGCCTTACCTTACCTCTTTGCTGTCTTTGTTTTGTCCGCAAAGTCTGTTTTAGTCTGCCTCTGTCTTTCTTAAATGTCTTCATATTATCTTTCATCTGGGCCTTTTTTTGCTTGGGAACCCAAACCTGACTGATTTCTGTGCTCCTAGCCTGCTTAATACCTTCTCAACACCAACCTGTGTTATAAAACTTTAAGGATTAGCCACTGCATATGACCAAATTGAGGGACATTTCATGTTTACTGTCTCAGTTATTACAATAACCATTTGCACGTAGCAAGCGTAGGCATCTGCGCACGCTTGGCTACAGGTGTGTGTACTGCAACAGTACAGTGACCAGATCCTTTTCCTTCTCTTGCATTTGGTAACTTGCTCACAGGAGAGCAAAGCCCTCTTTGTCATAAACCATCAGTTCTCTCTGAGGAAAGAAACCCACAGATTGGTATTTTGTATTTTCATGCATATTTTATACCTTTATGCATTTGAAAGCCTTGAGCTGGAGTGAAGCTGTGATAAAACATCATGAAGAACTTGTGATCCGTCTGTGTCATAAAGTTCATGGCCATGTGAAAGCTCAATAATCTCTGCCTTAGTGGTTTGAAATTTCCAAGCTGACATGGAGAAATATCTGTGGATCCACTTTTGTACTGATCAGTCTTTTCTCCTTGGCTATAGATCACAACATGTGCACATAATGAGCTGAGATTGTAGACTTTGGTGAAGAGGGATCTAATAGCAGCCTACAATAAACTTGGGGGTGGCAGAGGTGGTGGAGTGGTGGGAGAGGATGTAATGAGGAGCAATAGCCCCATTTACAGATTGGGAGATTCAGGTTGGACATGAGAAAACTTCAAAGCTCAGTTACATAAAGCCAAGGCCGACACAGTGACCTAGCGCTGTTGATAGTCCTGCTTTCAGCAGAAGGTTGGACTGGAGACCTGCAGAGATCTCTTTCAACTAGTGCTTCGTTTATGTTGATTCTTTTATTTTAAAATAAGAACCCAAATGCTGTGAAGTACTAAGCAGCTATTTTATATGTTATGGCAGATCTCTGAAAATGAGGTGGGATGGCTTTTTGACCTGTCCTTAGCAAATAGCCACAGGATTAGACAGGCTCATAGTTTTTCAGGTATTTTAGCATGGATGCCAAACAAGCCCACAACTCACAGTCTTATCTACTCTTAACTGCAGAATAAGAATGTCACAGAAAACAGTAATGAACATTTGACCAATTCTTGCTGACAGTGTATTTTTGACTGAAATAGTGGAAATGCAGCTGGTAGGGGTCCCTGTAAGGCTTCTCCGTTTTCCAAAGTGCCAAGGCAGGGTTGTACATTGCTATGGCATTCTTGGTAGCCATTTCCTGCTCTTCTAGACCTTCAGTACAAGACATTTCAAACCAGTTTCCCAAGACAGTGGTCCCACACAACCCAGTACATCCATCTCCCCTTTCATTCAAGGCCTTAGCCCCATTATGAAGACTGCCAGCCAGGGTGTCTGTATGGTCATGGGTTTGTTACTTATGTTCCCAATGGACAGACAATTGTACATTAACAATTAAAATGAAACTCTCTGTTAATTTCATAGCAACACAGGTTTAGTCCTATAATTTTAAATAAATCCAATTAAACATTCCAGTTTTGAGTAATTCAATTTTAAATAAAGTCACTGAAGGGAACAGGGTCTGTAGAATAGGATTATCTGTGTAAGTTTTACCTGGAACATTTCTTTCTTCAAAACTGATTCTTCTTTAAAGATTCTTTGTTTAAGAAAAAAACTGCTGAAATCCTGTGTTACCTGCGCTGCAGTAACCCAAACCTCCCTGTGTCTTTCCTGAGCAGAGAACTGCCATGTGCACGGGGAAGTGTTCAAAGTGCATTGGGATTACCCTGTTCCCACTGGCGACATGTGCCATCATCTCCAACATTCTCCTGTACTTCCCCAACGGACGAGTTCTGCAGCTCAGCGAGATAACCGATCTGGTCTGGTATTTCCATGGCATTCTAGGAGCTGGGATACTGGTAAGAGAGATGTTTCTAATGTTTCTTAGGGGGTTTGTTCTGTTTTCTTTTAAATTCAGGGCCAAGAAAACCTCCATTAACAGAAAAAGTTATAGAAATGTGTTTTGCATAAACTTATAAACAGCTTAACTGGGAAGCTGGGTAACGTGACTGAGAAAATGTATTTAGGACAAAAAAGTGGCTAATGAAGGCATTCCTGAAATACATAACAGGACTCCAAGACAGAAAGAAGCACTAAGACTGACTGCTCACTCTGAGGAGGGTTACATGGGTGTTCATTCTCCATGAGTCAAAGCAAAGCTGAGGTCCTAAGATTAGCTATAGAGGTCACTATTGTCTGCACGGCCTCGTTATTCCTCTAACTGATTTTATGCACACGTAATTCTCAAAAACTTAAAGGGCAAAACTGAAATGTTTCAGTAGGTGTTAGTTCAAAACCCAACTAACACTCCACAAATGTGGAGCTGCAAATGCCTTAAACCCTGAATGCCTCATGTTCCCACACTCCCACCTACATCTTCTTGGGTTTGATCTGGTTTGAATGTGCTCTTCTATAACTAATTCTCCATTCCAGGGCTCAGGAAAGATTGCTTTTATATGAATATCCATGGCTGGAAGGGAACATGTTAGGGAATAGTTATCTTTCCAGTTCATCAGAAAACCTGCTCCCTTTGTGCTCTTCCAATTATCTACCCAAGTGCAGTTAAAAAGCTGAGAGAGTACTGTACATATGACCAGCATACTAGCTGCTATGCAGCCTAGGCAAATGGTAAACTGGCTCAGAGCTAACTACCTGCATGCCAAAAAAATGAACGTTTAAGAATTAACTTAGAAATAAAGCAAATCTCATTCACAGTCAGGCTATGATGCAGCTGCCACTTAAGTCTACGGAAAACCTGCAGTGGATGTGGTTCAGACTCATATATCCCAAAGCAGAGACATGGTATAAGATCATTCAATAAATTGTTCTCTACCAGCAGCTTGCCTGCTTCTTCTTCCAGCTACTGCTTGGGCCTATTACTCATGCTGAGCTTGAACATAAGCATGAGTCTGTAAAAGGAAGGAGTGGAACTACATGAGAGACCTGTGGAAAATTCATATCACTGCAAGCCCAGGAGTCATTGGCGTTCAATGAAAGAAAAGGCAGATGTTAGACATAAGAGCATCACTGGCTCATTGAAAATGAGCTCTCTTTTAAGGCTTCCACACTGACTTGCCTGTGGCCAGCACCACATACATCAAAAATGAGAACAGCAAGTAAGAGGAGAGGAAAAATTTGCATTGAGCTTCAAAACACAGCATTAGGAGTAATTATTGATCCACAAGAAATGCTATTGGGTGTACAGGTTTTCCAGAAAACAGCATGAGAAATGCCTACAGGTGAAGAAAAGGTAAAGAAAGCATTGTTATCAGCTCTGTTTTCTAGGTGCTGGAAGCCTGGAAAATTGAGGATTGACTTCTGGGCCTCCTAAAGAGTTAAACAGGGGGACGAATGTCCCATGACTGGAGTCTGGTCCATATCCTGGCTCTACGGATGAGGCTGCAATACCCCAGGCACCTCTCTGTTTCCTTATTTCAGACATTCAGGGTGTAAAGAGAGGCTCTGTGTGTCATTGTAACATCTCTCCTCAGGGAAAGCTTATGTGCAACACTGAGAAGTGCCTGACTGAGCCATGGCTCATGCACAGATCCTGTTTTACTGACAGCAGCCAAATCTAGCAAATTCTCATTCCCATGTCAAAAGGCCAGTGTTTAAAATCAGGTACTGCATAAAAAGAAAGCTGCCAAGCAAACCCTTCATCCTGAGCCAGGCTAATAGATGGCAAAAAGGTCTTTCCAGCTTAGATGGAAAACTTCGAAAGAAATAAGACAGCCCTGGAGGAAAGGAAGTGTTGGCTTGATGGGCAGAGGTATTAACTCTTCTTCTGAGTGCCAGACAGTAGCACACTGGGGCTGACGCTGCCTTGGGGTCCACTTGTGATTGTTTAAGAGATGACTTCTTTCCAGGAAGAGGAACACCTTTTTAACCTCAATACTCTACTTCTTCAGGCTTCCAGCTGTGGTCCAGCCACCACTGCAGGTGCTATAGGTTGCCTCTGGGGTGTGCATAAAAGGCAACGGAGAATAAATCCTTTGAAAAATATTTGGGGGCCTGCATATCTAAGCAGGTTTCATAACCCTGTCCTACACAGTCTAACAGAGATATTCACACTGCACACATAAATTCCAAAAAAAACCAGCAATACCCTGCTGAAAAGAAGCAGTATAGCTTCAGCAACCACAATTAATATACCAGCTATTTGCCAGACAGCTCTAGCTGTAATCCCACACTTATTTCAAAATAACTCTTCAGCAACACCAACATCTAAGCAGGTGTAACTCACAGAGAAGAGATGGAAGGTGGTTTGCATTTGAGGAACATGATGCCCCAGCTCTCAGAATTTAAAAACCATCCCAGCAAAAGTGCTGCCCACCAATTCAGTTTGTGCTTTTCTCACAGGTTATTTTGCCGGCATTCATGATGCTGGGAGCAGGAGGAGCAGGATGTTGCGCTAACAGATGTGGGGTAAGTGGATATTTATGTGTTGAAATGGCACTGTAGAGTTTGTGCAATAGCTCCTAAATGGCTGCTCAGCAGGTGGAAATGTGCAGTCACAAACCATCACGCCACCATCAACACCCATGTCAGGGAAACATAGAAGGGGAGCTTGATCTACAGCGTCCCTGGGCTGGGGCTGAGAGCTCAGTTAAGCCAACAAGAATGTTACAATATTGCAGCTGCTGGTATAAGGGAAATCAGCCAGGGATGATATTGGAGAACTAAGGCACAAAGCTGAGGGCAGAGGGGTACTTTACATAAAGTAAAATGTGGGTCCAGCTTCCCCTGCTAAAGGCAATACTAAAGGCTGAGACAGCTACCTATCCGTTCTGCTTCCACCAGGCCCTGTTTCCTCCATACCCTTCCATGGCAATTTGTTTTTCCACAGGTTCATTCCTGCTTTCCTCTGTAGGGGTAGATAGGTCCCCTATTGGCAGGTCCATGCTAAAAGCCTGAGCTGCTGCATCTGGCCCTAAGGAGCCCGCACTGCTTCCCACAGTTTGGACTAGCAGCCTGTATTTGCCCAAATGTTATGCACATGAAACATGCAAATGCAATTTAGGCTGTCATCTAAAGAATGGTTAGAAAGACTTTTTTCCTTGATAATTAAGAATATTATAAAGCAACACACTATACAGACATCTCCATTATTTCTCAAGCCCTGAGCACAGACTTCTGTGTGGCTATCATGATTGGCAAGAATAAACTGACGTAGAAATATTTTTTTAGTCTGCATCCTTCCCAGAAGCAACCTGGAATGAGAGATTCTATACAATCAAGCATGTATCTTCTCTAGTCTTCAACTAATATTTAGTTTGATCCATGAGAAGACCTTTACCTCTTCAAGATGCTTTACTTAAATTAATTCATTATTCATAATACCAAAATAGCATTCCTCATTAGGATGTAAGCAAGTACGTCCCAAGGGACATGCCATTACATTGATTTTACCAAATGTCACAAGCACAGATAGGATGCTAATGATGGCCAAGCAGGCCAGTTGCAGAGCTGGGGTGTGAGCCCAAGCACCCTGAACCCAGTGCCTGAGCCAGCTGCTTTGCCTGACTTTATGTGATATAGAAAGCAGTAGTGAAAAAGAGCCATACTGTGGTGGTTCTCCCACTCTGCTGAATGTGGTGAGTTATGAGGGGAAATCCAGCTGAACTGGGTTGAGTTCACACATCTTAGATGTTCCTTCCCCATCCTTCATTCCAACACTAAATATTACAGAGCCAAGAGTCGAACTTTCCCAGATTGGCTGGGTTCACTCCCCAGCCCAACAATAAAGGCTGTTAGCACAGTGTCATTCAGTAGCCCACATCCACAGACCTCCCACTATCCTCCATTCCCCTCCACCAACCTTTTACAGTCTGAGACATTCTTAGCAGCAGTATATGAATGCCAGATATACCGTCTGCACCTTCCCATCACTGATCAGTAACCTACAAGCTGTTCCTCCTCTTTTTTGTTTTCACTTACAGAGAATACGATAGATGTTGACAAAGTAGTTTCAGTATGCATGATGATATTTTATAGAATCAGGAGACTCATTGAATCTTTATGGTTGGAAAAGATCTTCAAGATCATTCAGACCAACCTTCAAAGAAATACCACCATACCCACTAACCCTTATTACAAAGTGGTAAATATTCATATGAAGAGAGCTAGCTGATGGCCAGGTGATGAAGCTATCCAGAGCAAACTAAGGAATAGGCTCAGTGAGGACAGTATATCAATTAAAATGCTGTTTTCTGGGACTATGGGAGTCACACACCTCTGTGAGGTGAAAAGGGTGAAGGTCTACACCCTATGTTTTAAACAGAATGTGGTTCAAAGTACAGATGAGAAGGGGACATGAGCAAAGAGTGAGTGGCTATGAATGGCATTAAAAACAACAGTTTCCCCCGCACAGCTCCAGGGGAAGAGTGATTTCCAAGCATGCAAAAACAAGTGAGTATTGCAGGGAGATCTGAAGGCCAATGATATGCTTCTTCAACAGAAGGAAGCTCAAGGAAAATTTACTTTGGGGATAGTGGAAGAAAATGCAGAGACATCCACAGCAGGGTTGCTTAGATGTCCTGAACATACAGGCTGCATATCTAAGGCAGGGGATGGTGTGAGGCTCTGGAGAGCAAAGGACCCCTGGGATCCATTCAAACATACATAAAGGCAGCAACTTCCCAAAGTACCAGAAGTCCTTGTGAGGTAGATCTGGGTGGACCTGATAAGGGGTCTCCAGCTCTTGTCCACCAGCTTCCACCTGCTGCCAGGGAAATAGCCCTCACTGGAGCTACTCAGGAACATCTGTAAATCAAAGGCTAGTTTGGGCACCTTTCTGCTTTGCAGATCTTAGGTATAAACCAACAATCTACACTGAATACTCAGCATCGGTTTACACAAGGAAAAAAAAAGGTTAAAGCACTATTATTGATCAGAATTATCATTCAATCAGAACATAACATTTTTCCTCAGGGAAGGGACTCTATCCTATTGTATTTTGTGCAATTTCTGGTTTAATAGTTTCAGACTTCATCAAAGACTTTACACACTGCCAAAGTATCTACAACAGTAATAATTACTATATTTCTCATACTTTTTAGTCACCTTATTGACTTCTTCAGTTCACAGTGATTATGTGCTGCATCAAGTTTTTCATTAATACAATTTAAATTATTACTTTCAGATTATTACTTCAGATTATTACTTTGCATAAATGGCTTCTTGTCCTTGCATTATGGAGTAATGATTTTGAAAAGTGATAGATTTAGAAAGCTTTGCAGCTTAGCATATGCACATCGAAAAGCATCCACTGCAGTAACATGATGAGGAAAAAAGGCCCACCCAAAATACAGCTTCTCTCATTGCATCAGCACACATACTCCAGTATTTCTCTCTAAACCTTCCTTAAGAATTACCGGTAGAACAAGAATAGCCATAGCAGCTTTCCAGAAAAACAGACCTAGAAAAGCAAAGATATCTGGATAACCAGACAGCATAACAACTCCAGAAAAAAACCCACCCACCCACCCACCCAC